TGCATGCATAATTAAAATAGATGAATGTATCCATGTATGTATGTCTGTATGCATGTATGTAGCTGCATGTCGCTGCATATGTAGATACTTATGTGAATTATGTGCTTAGTGTAATCATTGTTCGCAGGGTGCATGTGTACGTATACATACATACATACATACATACAGACATACATACACCTATCTACTCCAATACTCAGTGTTTTGGACTTGCCGCCTTTGCCTCTTGAGATCCTGCAGCCCCCAAACTGCAAGTCAGATGAAGCAATCGCTGCAAGCCGTCACTAAAGCTGGATGGTGGTCTTTGTGATGTCAGTAGAAGGTCGCAGGATTGTGTAGACCGGTAGCAAGGTAGGGGTGCTTCCTCAAGGATGTTTTGCGGGCGATTGCTGCTACGTCGCGAATTAGACAACTAGGACCGTGCCAACGAAAAATCTACACCGCAACTGGGACTAAACCGCTTGCTACAATCATCCAGAATCTATATTGTCAGTGAGCTTGATGAATTCGATGACCTGGAGTATTGCTTGTGGCTTAGGGACGTCGACGAGGACTGTCCGAGGATTGCAGGAGGCAAGTAACATCCATACGTCTTTCAGCCTAAAGCCCGAACAAACTCCCACACTCCCGCTTCTGTGTGATGCGAGGCTGCAGGTGAAGTCTTCTGACACTGTGCTCAGCCTGAAGCAGCTGCTTTGGGCCAGGAGATCCGACACTGGTTTATTTTCCTTAAATACTAAAACCCCTTATAACTTATAGCCCTAAGCTTTTTTGGGAACCATTTCCTTAAATCCTAAACCTTTATAAATTAATAGCCCTAAGCCTTTTTTTGGAACCCTTGTGTTGAGCCTTCTGGTTGCATGGGTGTTCATGGTATTCAGGGCTTGGGTGTACTTCGTCGTGGGTCTCCTGGGTACTATAGCGCGTAGTTGCTACTCAGTGTGGGTCCTTCTCCTGCATCGTCCCAACCGTGAGAATCCAAACCTTCAATCTGAATCCCTTAGCCCTAAACCAAGAGACTCGAAACCCCAAAGCACGGATAAAACATTGATCCATGTTGTCGCTTCTGTTGAGGCCTTGCGCTAGGGTGCGGTTGTGAGAGGTGTGATATATCGTGATTGTGGTTTAACTTGGTTGCTTGCTGTTCTTCTCACTTCGATAGTTGGACCAGTCGTCGTGTCGTGAATCGAAGCCCTGCCTGGTTTACGCGAGCCTGAGAGTCGAAACCCTGTCTTCTGATCCTTGGAGTCCAAGGAAACAAAGATCATACCCTCATATGCAGGATTGGGGAGTTCTAAACTTTATGAATCTCCGATATTATCAGGTTTCTCTCATGATTACTGTGCTGACGGTTTTACTGCGTTCCGATACCTTCCACCTGCATCGAAGCAAAGGAGAGCGTTGGATCAACCGCAGACTTTAGTTTGCCTTCGTTCTGTGGTCTCATCCTGAATCCCAGTAACGAAGAATTCGCCAAAGCTGGGTTTTAAGCCTCAGAACCATGGACCAGCCTCGCCTGCATTGCCCGAGTTGCCAGAGTCTAAACCCTAAAACCATAAACCCAGAAACCCTGAAAGCTCCTACCTTCTTTGCATCGGAGGACAGGCACTGAAGTGGCAAAGCAGCGCCTGATCCTCGAGGAGACGGAGCTGGAGACTTTGCTACCGCTGCTTAAGGTTCCAAGCTTCAGGAGACATCGTTTTCCCTAGAAGCCTTGAAGGCCTTCTGCAAGGGCCGTAAGGGTTTAGACTTCAGGACTCATTTTTGTTTGGTTTTGTTTGGGGGGGGGGGGGTGCTAAAAGGTTTAAGGTCCAGCGTTGTCTGAGGCTAAAGGGCTGTAGGTCTCAAGCTTCAGGGATTTAAGGGCTATGCCTCGGGGGCTTTGAGGGTTTAGGGTTTATCAGGATGCAATAGTCTGGCAGTGCTGCTTCCAAGCTGATTGGCAGAGTCCAGGTTCAAAAAATGCCAATCAGGGTTGCCTGCTTCGCGAAGAGACGGTTATGGCAAGAAATCTAGAGACGCCTCTTTGCCTTGATGTGCTAGGGCATGCGATTGCGGCTTCAGCGTTGTGGTTGCTGTCTTCCGATCTTTATTCGGGAAGAAGACGTAAGCTGAAATGTTGGCATCCAGAGCTCTTGGGACTGGTTGGGGATTTAATGTGGTAGACAGCTCCAATCTATTTTATGCTAGGGAGCTGCAATATCTAGTCGGGGGCAGTTCGTAATAAATGATGTTCATACGAAAGCAGAGTCGCAAGAGCGCAGGGCGAGGAGAGCATGAGGTACCATGCTGCCAGCACGGGATGCTGACATGCGCCCTGCCGTGCATAAGGAAGATATGCAGACCATGGAGCAGTGCAAGGTTGCTGACGGCGCAAAGCTTTGCCTGGTCTGCCTGCCCACTGCAGAGGACCAACAGAACAAAATGGAGGCAGGGGCTTCATTTTCGTCAGACAGAGACCACTCAGGCAATTGCTGAAAGCCCTAAATCCTGACCGGCCTCAAGGAAAGTTGATGGTACTCTGAGTTTGGGTTGCGCACAGCCCGATACTTTTGCGTAGGAGACACTCGCCGCAGATGGTTTTGTTCTTCAAACGGCCCCTCCTTGGTCAACAGTTTATTTCAATTGGAGTCCGCAAGGCTTTCCTCGTCCAGCAGCACTGTTGCTACATCCCTGCAGTCGGGCTTATTGGCGCCGGCCCATGGTAGTAGAACAACACCTGACACGAACACAGCCCAGACACTTTCTTGCGTGAATCTCAACAGCAGCCAAGCAAACAAAGGTCCAAGCTTAATACTTCATAGCCCCAAAGCCCAAAGAGGTGATCGTGCGCTGCCGACCTCCTCGCGCGAGAGATGTGGAGATTGGGTCGCGGAGAGTCGTTGAAGCTCCTCGGAAGCCTTCGCCAGGGAGTTGAGCCGTGGGTGTGCTTGCATGGATTCTTGGAGGGTTTGGGGTGGCTGATCGCCAGCGTCTGGGTTCAAAGAATAGGCTTTTGAGGGGGTGTCTTGCATGTTTATGTTGCAAAGGACCAGTAGTTCGGCTCCGCACGTGGACCCTTCAATCCCTACGTCGTTCGACTGCTGCAAGCCTGGATAGATGGACGGACCTCGTGGCGAAGTCAGTGTGGCTGATGTCGGCGACGGACCACCTAGGACTGAGCCATACTCCTATGCCGGGGGGTGTCTTAAAGCTTGGATCGTTTTGTGGGGGAGGTCTCTGGATGGATGGGCTCCACTGACCTACTGACGATTTTCGGGCCTATGTTAGGGTCCTGCTCTTTCTGAGACTTCCTTTTGACTGACTTGCCGAGGTGTAGGTTCGAGTTTAAACAGTGAGCATGCTCGGGTAAGGGATCACCAGCGTTTCCCATTGCTTTGTTTCGTTGCCCCCGAAGATGCATCAGAAGTGGCTTTAATTTTTCCCAGTCTGCCTTTGGTGGCTTTGGGACCACTGGCGAAGACCCGGCATGAAACTCGAAGAAGAGCATCAGCGCGATGCAATGGTACGCCCTCAGTTTCGGTCCACGTTTCGGGGCCTGGTGACTTGTTTACACCCATGCAGCATTGAATCGTTGCAGTTGGTCGAGCAGGTGGCACTGATATCGTTTTGTCTGCAGATGGATGCAGAAGATAGAGAGAGAGAGAGAGAGTGTGTGTGTGTGTGATTGTGCGTGTGTGTGTGTGTTGAGTGTGTGTTGTGTGTGTGTGTGTGTGGGTGGATGTATGTGTGTGTGTATATATATATATATATGTGTGTGTGTGTGTGCGTGTGTGTGTGTGTTTGTTTGTCTCTCTGTCTCTGTGTGTGTTTGTGTCTGTGTCTGTGTCTGTGTCTCTCTCTCTCTCTCTTCTTGTCTGAATGTGTCTGTGTGTATTTGTTTGGTCTCGTTTTGCAGCTGTAGTTGGTTGTTAGCTTGTTTGTTTGGTTGTTGTTGTTTGCAGGTTTCGTTTGGTTGTTTGTGTGTCTTTGTGCTTGGTCGCCCATTTTGGTGTTTCGTTTGCATGTTTGTTGTTTGGCTTGTTTGGTTTGTCGAATTTTAAATTGTCTTTGTAGTCGTGTGGGTGTGTGTGTGTGTGTGTTTGCTTGTGTCGATTTTGTTTTGTTTGTTCGTGTGGCTGTTTGATGTGTTGATTGCTGAATCTTTGCATTTAGAAAGGTTGAAACCGAAGTCCGCGTGGCAGGACCTTCACGTTCCAGGCAGTTCTGGATGACACTGCAAAGCAAAGCGAGGCTGGTGCTCGAAGACTTTCACGTCACAGGGCTGTAAGTATGTGTTTGTCTATCTATCTATCTATCTATCTATCTATTTGTTTACATAGGTTAACATAGGTGGAAGATTTACGAAGCATATGTGTATATGTATAAACGTACCTGTATATGATCTGTATGTGTATCTTAAGAGATGCTCAGTTTGAGGGTTTTCGGACAGGCCTCGTGAGCTCGGTCGTTTGTACTTTTTTTTGCTGCAGCCATCCAAAGGCCTTGCATGATAAATCGCAAGCTTCTCCCCGAAACCTCAAAGCCCTCCGACGCCATCATCCTACAGAATCCACAGGTCGCTGTCCCCGGATTGAGAAAGATCCCTCTCAACTATGATCCACGGGATGCGCTCCAAGAGATGTTGGGGCTTTTTTCAGAAGTCGACCATGAAGAGTCCCAGCTCTGGGGGCACCTTTGGAGAAGTGTTGTTTTGGCCGACCTCTGCCTTTTTGCAGGTTCGATCCAAAACTCCTAGTTCATTAAAACCCTCGTGTGTGTGTGTGTCTATTAGAAGCTTGAACATTTTTGCCGATGCACCTCGAGGCGCTTTAAGCCTCAGCTTTTTTGACTGAGCTTTGGATCTAGCACAAATGAAACCTCGCCGAGTGCGTTCGTGTGTGTGTGTGCCACAGTCGAAATCTTATTATGTGCCTGTGCCTGAGCATCTGAATCTGAGGCGATCAAGCTTCAAAGCTAGTTTCAGAATCGGAAACCTGTGCAAACCATAACCGGAAGGCCTGGAACCCGGCAAGAATCTGAAAACATGCCGATGTTTGAATCACGAAGATTTTCAGCGCGATTCTCTGTCCAGAGGTCTACAAGATGGTTGGCCGCGATGCCCTGCAGACGGCCTCTCGATAAAACTGCGGCCTCATTCCATTTTCCAGGAAGAGACGGGGGTAACATTGATAGATACATGCATGATGTATAACAATATAAATCTAACATCGAAAATGAGTGAGGCTTCTTGATCAATGGGTGTAGACCCCTGGGCCCAGTTTGTCCAAGCCCAAAAAGCACCAACCTCGGTGCACCTGTTCAGGTCCTCGAGGGCTACAGCACCACCATCTTCGCGTACGGCCAGTCAGGGTCCGGGAAGTCCCACACGCTGCTACTTGGCTAGTTCTCTAAATTAGGGTTGCTCTTAACGGGTAGTGGTAGTTTGTTTTTTTTTCTGTGTTTGTTTTCCGGTGCCTCTTTTCATTAAGGTGGTTTCTGTAATAAGGGTGCCGCACGGTTAGGGGTGCCTAAACCCAGCTTTCAGCCAAGGTTTCCGTGGCTTTGGATGTAGTGTGATGTGGCATGCGATCCCTGTAAACCCTGAGCCGTACGCTGAGATCTTTACAGGGTTTGCATAGGCTTTTCGATTGAGGGCTTAGGAGAGTTTTATAAGCTCCTCCGATCCACATTAGATTTGCCAGTTTCATGCACATCACAGCTAAAGGGGAATGCATCGGTGGTGGGGGTTCTGGATGCTGAACATCTGGTACTCGAGGAAGTGATTTGACAACGATAACCTGCCTACGGCTATACTTCTGTAGCGCTATCTAATCTCACAGGTTAACCGAATCTTCCCAAAGAAAGTTTGTTTTCTTTTGAGCCTTTGACTTCTATATCCCCTTGTCAGTCAGGTTTGGAAGCGGCCTCTCTGAGCCGGCACAGGAGCACGCCGGGATCACAAAAGTTAGGCCAGCGTGGAGTCCGGGCTTTCAGGGTTTAGGGTTCAGGGTGACTCAAAAAAGAAGCAGCAGTCCAGCGCTAAATGCCCAAGTTTCTGCCACGCTCTTAAGACCGCCCCCTGAGTCCGCAATTAGAGTTGTTGTCCTGCTAGGGTGGCGGTTGATGCTGTATGTTGGGCAAATCTTGTTTTTAAAGATCGTGTCGAAAGCGGAGCCGAGAGTTTGGATAGATCGGACGTCCCTGTGAGATTTAGCAGAGTTGTCTGGGCTTCGGGCCCGAGACTGGTTTCCTAGCGACAAATGGTTGCAAGCAGCAGCGTCCTACACTGATCCTCAGCCTCACCATGATCTCTTGCCGGGATCACCACAGGAGGAGGAGGGCCTTGCGCCGAGACTCTTCCGACAGCTCTTCCAAATTACAGAGACTTTGCCGGCGATGTGCCGGAGCCTGATGTCTTCGGATGGGATACTTGAGGGTGGGCCATGTAGAGTTCCAGCGCCTGTATGTCAAAGAAGCTTTCGCTGCCTGACAGCCTTTTTTTGCATGTCTGCTTGACTGAAGCTTCACTTTGCAGGTTCAGGCTTCGAAACTGGGAAATTTCCACCCACTAGATTCTTAGATGCTGCAGCTCGAAATTCGGGCAAAGCATGGCTGATCAGAATATCTGTATTTGTCACACATACTTCGTTGGATTGTAGCCATCAGGCTCCCCGTCACAGCGTCATTGCTAGTCGTGAAACTACAAAAGCTCGCCCGATGATTTCTCACAGCAGACCTTAACCGACACATCTTCAGAACATGCTCTGCCAGTGTGTATGGCTGCACTTGTTGGCAAAGCCACTCAGGCAGTGGAGAATCGGCTGTGCCATGCTACAGATCTACATGGAGGCCGCCTCCCCCCCCCCTCCGAATCAGGAATATCGCATGCTCACGACAATAACTTGCACCCTGAAGCCGCGACACATCCAGATTTAGGTGCGTACAGTACAAGAGATCTTCGAGATTGCGTTTGAATCCGGGCCCGCAAATCGTTGGAGGTTAGTTTTTTCAACAACAGGCAGCTCTGAAACCAAAGCCGAAGTGTGGAGCCTTGCAGGACCTGGTGGACCTGCTGTCCCCGAACCCTCGCGAGACAAAGAAGGTGCGAGATGTTCCCAGCAGGGGCGGCATCTGCGTGGAGGAGGGCACCGACGTTGAGGCTGGAGCTTTCCTTAGTTGAGGCTTGTAGCGAGACAGTTTTTGCGAAGAGCGATGAAGGTAGTGTTAGTGCAGTATTGAGCTTATGTTGGGTGTACTTGTTGGTAGGTTTGTGATGCATCGCTTGTGATGTGAAGGTCCGATCGTTGGCAGAGTTGGACGAGGCATCCACAGGGATCGTCATGACGGGAATTTCACATGTTGTCGGCCCTGCGCACGGTATTCGGAGAAGTCCTGTACTACCGTCCTGCGCAAACCCCAGCGCGAGCTACGACTCGTCTTGGATCTGATGGAGTTGAAGTGTTGCTACTGTACAGGTACATGTGCCAGTATCAATGCTGATTCTGGTACTTGTACTGGTACTGGCACTGGTAAGTAGAAGTAGTACTCGTGCTACGTACTGCTACAACTCACTCCTACTACTACTACTACTACCACCACTACTACTACTACTACTACTGCCACCACTACCACCACTACCACTTATACTACTACTACTACTACTACTACTACTACTACTGATGCTGCTGCTTCTGCTGCTACCACCACTACTACTACGACTACGACGACGACGACTACTACTAGTAATACTAGTACTACTAGTACTACTACTAAAACTACTACTACTACTACTACTACTACTACTAGTACTACTGGTACTACTACTACTACTACTACTACTACTACTACTACTACTACTTACTGCTACTGCTACTGCTTCTGCTTCTGCTTCTGCTACTGCTACTGCTACTGCTGCTACTACTACTACTACTACTACTACTGCTACTACACTAGTAGCAGCTGTACTGGTTTTGCTTGGCAATCAGTTCTTCTACAGACGCTTAGGTTCTGAAGATCGGCTTTGCGAAGGAGGCCGAGCTCCCGCGTGGTCCCAGCAAGAAGGCGGGGGGCTGTACAGTCCTGCGGACGACTTGCGGCCGACTATTTCTTTTCTGAGCAGACCTCGTTACCGGTTAGGAAATGGCTAAGCTAAGGCGTTGCTATTCCCAATTCCTAATCGCTAGCACAAACCGTAAGGCAGTTGGAATGCTGGGATTCTGGCTGTTGAAATGTTTGACTCCGACAGAACTTTGCTTCGGATATTCGTGGCCAGAGTGCTTTCAGGCTTCTGTGGGGTGTCAAGAGACCTGCTGAACTCAGCTTCCCGAATAAGATCTGCACCTTTCCCTTTTGGTTCTCTGGGCATTCTAGACTTCTGAGATGGGATGCTGGAATGCTGCTCGGTACCATTGACATACCAACATTGTCAACATACTTCGCAGGACCGCATCGTTGCTCTGACGGTACGAAGTCAAGATTTGGGCGGCCAAGTGCTCACACGGAAGCTCCAGTTTGAGCCTCGCCAGGCAAGAAGAAGAGAGCTTGGGAATATGAGAGGGTCTCAGTCAACGAGGCGATTTCCAATTCACAGCCTTGGAGGGGGAGGATGACGGCCTGTATGGCGTGGACTGGTACCTGAATGCCCCTGCAGAGGTACAGCAATGGCCCCATTCACGAATTGCCAACCTTGTCCACCACATCTAATTCAATATTGTAATAATGAACCGCCCAACGAAGCAGATTGCAGGAGCTTCGGTTTCCTGAGTGGTTGCGGTGCTTCGTGTGGGCTCATTGCCGGTCTTCGTTTCGTCGAGTTGCCGAGGTTGAGTGCCGGGGCAGCGAGAAGTTGTCCAAGGTGGGCGTCACCTCAGATGCTCTCCGCGATGCCTGGCTCTACGCATTCGAGAGGCTTCGAGGATTGCGAGGTGGCAAATGTCATTAAAACGCAGAGGTTTACAAGATTCGGGAAATTCGAGTCTCGCAGGCTGTTACTACCCAAGGTGGCAGGGTGTTGCTATTGAAGTGCCAGTTCCTGCACCCATCATGCAGAAGACGTAGTTTGACCAGATCAGAATGCATATGGCCATGACACTTCTTCGCATCACAGTCTTAAATCAGACACGGTTTTTTTGGACGCTGAGCTAGATCGCCGAGGAACAAGCACAAATCAGCAGGAACTCCTTGGGTACCGCCACTTGCCGCAACAGAGAAATTAGCGTGCAGAGCCTAAAGGTCTGAGCCTAAGCAATCCGTAGAGAAGCATCCCAACGGGTGTGATCATTAAAAGTGAAGCACTAGAGTCGCCAGTCCTCAGCTATTCGTTGAGTTGCAGTTGCTGTGGTGTTTTTTTGTTGTTTGTTCAGTGTTTCTGTCATGCTCATCGACTATACTCTGCAGGAAATTGCCCCCACTTCATCCACAAGTCCGGCCTGTCAGGTCCTCGAGGCCCTTGCATCGGCACGCCCCGTGGTTCCTCGCTTGCCTCTTCATGGCTTCTGCGTGTGGAGCACCCTTGTCGTTCCGTGTCACCGACCTGCATGAATGCTGTGAGTAGCAAGGCAAGATTTGTGAGAACCGCAGCTGAGGTACCATACCGAGATGGCAAGTTGACAAGACTTCTCGCCGACTCACTGGGTGGGCAGACACGCACGACGCTTTGCCAGATCGGATCGTTCAACAGGAAGGTCAATGCTCCGGAAAGGTACCCTTTTACTAATTAAGGTTTTGGCCTCAGTGCTTGGCCTTGCACTTTCATGTCAAGTCGTCGAGCTGTGCTGAGGATATGGATTGCGCAGGTACTCCCCGGGTCCCACGAGCACGACGAGACTTTGTCAACACTGCGACTGGCAAATCGGGTGAAGCAGATAGTTAACAAGCCTCTCGTAGTCCGTCCCGACCCGCCTGATCCGCTCCCCTGCGTTCCCTTCTCTGACGCCACATGGCTGCGCCTGTGATGGCTGCGCATGGCAAAAGAGAGTGAGCAAACGCTAGCCTTGAAATTTGCGCGAGGGGCTAAGGTTTCGCCAAGAAGTCTTACCGTAGCATTTCCGAGCAACTAGAGGTATTCGTTCCTGTTAATGAGTACGTTGCTCGATGGAGGATTGATCAAGAACTACTGGAAGTTGTGGGGTTCTAGGGAAAGGGCATGTGGTTCAGGGCTCGCGTTTAGGGTTGTAGGGTCGATGGCATATGGTTTAGTTTCAGGGTCTATAGGGCTCTTGGGTGTAAATGAATGGGTCAACTGATCCGTAAACCCCAACAGCATCATAGTTCCCAAGGCTGAAGCCGCCGGTGCACCACAGTCGCAGCACGATACCCCGCCAAGTCAGTGTCTAACATTAAAGCCCCCTAGACTCTAGGCCTAGGCTAGAATCAGCGTTTGTCACACGTCTGGTAATGGATGGCATCTTCTTCTTCTTCCTCCTCCTCCCCCTCGTCCTCGTGACAATGTGCATTCATCATCATGTAGGTAGAAGCACGAAGAAGGGCACAATTCATGAGGCCATAACGTTCTGGACCAGTCCTCCTCGGAAGCGAAAGCCGCCACTCGCGGGGAGCCCCAATTTCGGGTCAAGATGCTTGCAGCCCGGATCTTCCGCGACTAAAGGGACCCCTTTCATTTCTCTCCAAACTCCTCGGAGGTGCCGAGCCCACATTAACAGCACTGGCTGCAGCGGCGGCCGTTGCCACGGCCGCGGTGTCCACGGCTGCGGAGCTGGGGGCCCCAGGCTTCAGAATTTTGGGAGGTGCCAGGCTTGGGGTTTGGGGCTTGCAGAGGCATCAGCTGTAAGTTCCCGCTGCCTCCTTCCGCGAAGCTTTCCATGAAATTATGAAACAGAGCTCTTCGGCAAGACTTATCATGTCACGAAGAGGGAAACTACGATGCACACCATATGCAGTCGTCGCACCAATACCCCGAGTTTCGTAAGGCCCCCCAAATCCCGTTTGTTGAACATGTGCGACTAGCAATGTCGTCTACGGAAAATTGTAGACACAGACATATTGATTCTGCGGGTGCCTTGAGGCATGGGGTTTCGAAAAGGGCGCTGTATCATGGAACGGCCAATCCAATGTTCATCCACTGGCCCCCTACATCATAAGCATCCTGGGGGCCCCCAAGCCATCGGCCATAAACATTCAGCCCCGTCCGGTCTTGAGCTCACTGAAGTGTTTCACTCAAATCAGACCTCGGCCCTTGCGCCCCCTAGACAAGCAATGACAAAGAAACCTTGACAAAAAGACTGTCCCAAGGCTCACACCTGGTACCTCCAGTGTCCCATCTGCCGTGGCAGGCTGCCTCCGCTTTTAGGTTTAGGATTGGGTGCCTCGCTAAGTGATTCTGGTCGAGTGTTCGAGTCGCTGTTTGCGGTGTGGTGGTTTCTGCTGCTGGGTGATTCGTTTGCTTGGGCTGGCCAGGCCGATTTGGCTAGTTGGTCTTAATTTCGTTCCGGTGCGGATAGAAGCTTCAGCCGCCCGAACACTGCTTCTAAAGGCATTTGTCCTAGTGTTTCGACTCGTGTTTTGCGTTATCGTGCCTTCGGATGAGTTAGGTAGCAGCAGCAGAAGCAGCAGCAGCAGCGGCAGTAGCAGTAGTAGCAGCAGAAGTAGTAGGTAGAGGAGTAGTAGTAGCCGTAGCCGTAGCCGTAGCCGTAGCCGTAGCCGTAGCCGTAGCCGTAGCCGTAGCCGTAGCCGTAGCCGTAGCCGTAGCCGTAGCCGTAGCCGTAGGAGTAGGAGTAGGAGTAGGAGTAGGAGTA